CAAAGGGGGACAAAGATAAAGCCCACCGGCCCACCCGCCGGCCGGCCCAGGAGCGCCGCGTGGCTGGAGCCCTCGCATGCCCGGCCGGGCCTGGGGCCAGCTGCCCCGGAGCCGGGTTTGCAATCGCCCCAGGATTTGCGCAGCGTAGTGACACACGCTCCTACGTATGTAAAGTCCCACAACACGCCTGAGGAACCAAAACCGCGCGAACGGCAGAACCCCCTCCTGTCTGTCTGCCTGCCTTTCTCCCTGGGCTGCCAACAGAAGGGTGAGCTGGCCTCGGTCCCCAGGGCCGGAGTCCGGGTTGGAGGCTCTAAAGAGACCTTCTCTTCCTGGATCGCTTCCGTGGGCTCTGCAAGGTAGCGGGGCGCACTCGCCAGCCCCTCACCTCCCTGTCGGTTCCTGTCTGTGTCTGTCTCTGCGTCTTACTGTGTGTGTGCGTGACTCGGTCCCTAGGTCTCGCTCTTGGCCTCAGTCTCGTTCTCGGGCTCTCTCTCGCTCCCTGTCTGTCCCTCTCTTTTCTCTGGCAGGTCCGCTGACTGTCCGGGATCCCGCCCAGCGCCCTCTGCTGACAGGAGGGGGCGGGCCGGTCCCGCCCCGCGCACGTGGGGACGGCTCCCCGCCTGCACTCCCGCGCGCGCCCACGCCGGGGCGCACTGCGCCGGCCCTCCCCGCCTCCGCCCTGTGGCTCCCGGGCCTTGCCCCTAAGTTACCTGGAGGCCACCCCCGTCCGGGTCCCCACCCCCTTTCTGGTCTCCGCGGTCCTCCCTCTGTTACCTTGATGGCACCAGCTTCCCGGGTCAGAGTCTGGAGCCCCTGGCATTGTGTAAGGGGTCACAGGAATCGCTTTTTTGTCTCACTTCTTAAAAGCAGAGGAGAAAGCGGAAACCCAGGCTGGAGCGTGGCGAGTGCTGGCGGAGCGCTCGGCCAGCGGCCCTTCCTGACGCCGCGGGGACGTCCGCTGATCAGAAGGAAGTTTATTTGCTCAGATGAGGGTTCAAGGAAAGCTGACCTAGGTGGGAGGTCAACGCGTCTGTGCAAAGGGAATTCGGGGTTGGGGGCAAAGGTTGTGTCTGGTGGATGGAACTGCAGAGCAGAGAGTGAAACCCTGCCTCGCTCTTCCAGGGCTCAGGAAAAGAATTCAAGGCGCTGTCCTGCCTTTCACCAGGGGCGTTCACAGACTCCTGAACAGCACATCTGAGAGACCCCAGTCCAGCCAAGGGCGCGGAGACCGGAAAGGGCAAAGAATCTCAATCTTTCATGAGGAATGTAGAGGGCTATTGTGGGAGAAAGAGTCAGGGAGAGAACGTTCCCAAAGGACGAGTGTCTCCGTGGGCACTGCAGAAGGGCTGCCGGTCCGAGGAGACCGGTGAGCTCCAGAGGCAGAGACGGTACGGCTGCTTCGGGAGATATGATTTCCCCAGGACTGAAAGTGATTCAGGAGCTGCTTGGTGGCCTCGAGACTAAAGGAACCAGATCCCACATGGCCACAAGGTTCGAGTCCTGGGCCTGGCCTTTAGACCTCTGTGACTCCAAGTGATTTTTGGAAACTAATGAGCTCTCTAAATGATACGTTTACACCCAACATGTCCTCATTTCTAGCTAGGCTGCAGCACAATGTGTCAATAAGGTGCCGGAGTTTCAACAAATGCACAGGGTTTGAAATAATGCAAATTTTATATTGTAAAATTTTTGAAAAGATAATTGATTAACTGTTCTAGGCACATATGTTTTGCCAGTCCATTAGTCCCACACATCAATAAACAGTAAGATAAACAATAATCCATCTGCCCAGCTACTTTACCAAGCACCGTCAACATCATGTAAGCATGCGGTCAAAAGAAAGTATTCAGAAAACTACAAGTTTCCAACTACCAAATAAGTAAGTCTAAAATCTAGACCTTCCACTCGAACTCACCAAAGCACTGCTCAGAGAATGTGGTAGGGCCCAAATATGGTGTTCTATCAGCAATATCGTTACTGAAGAAAAAAGCCTTCCAATTGAAATGGAAAGTATAATGTATAAAATACATGTTTTTGGAAAGTTGCCATAAAGGTCAATAGTCTTAAATGATAATAATGAGAGCAGCCAGCCAGGAGCCCTGGGCAAGCTGTTGAAAGAGGTCCTTTCTATTTCTGACCTAGATACCTGGGACACCAGGGAAGGTCATTTGACCTAACCAGGATTCGATTCCCTCATCTATAAAACAGGACACCTAGGATAGAAGAACGTCAAGTACATATTCCAGCCTCTTTATTTCTAAATGTCTCATTTAGAGGTTTCCTAACAGAGCATGAAACACCAAGAACAGAAATTAAAGTTCAATTCTCCAGTTAAAAGCACACTTAACTTTGACTTTTTCTTAATTTAAAATTACTTATTTAATTCCATTTGTTGTTATTATCTTTAAAAGATTGGACGAGAGCAAGTGGGAAAGCAAGTTGCCAAGTCCGGGACGCCAACCACAGTCAGCCATGCGGGTGTCCAGGGCCCTAACCACTGCACCACTGGTTGACCCCACCTTTTTACTTTTTCTAAAGGCTTCAAATTTGGCTCAGTCCAAATCTGCTGTTATTGTAAATAAAGAGCAAATGTTTTCAAACATTTCTGTACTTTTTCTAGTGGCTTCAAATTTGGCTCAGTCCAAATCTGCTGTTCCCATCATAAATAAAGAGCAAATGCTCTTTCAGATGTTTCCATGCATGCGTTGCCCTGGGAAGGACTAAAGAGGAACTCTAAAGGGCTGAGCATCGCTTCCTTTCCCCTTTCCTAGTTTTCCTTTCCCTTCTAGTCCTAAGGGTTTTCGCACACATCTCTGAGGAGGGCAGCCACGGTGGTCCAGAGAGGGGTGCCGGAGCTCAAACAAGGGCAAAGGGTAACGAGTAGAAGGGGAACAGGAGGGGCAGCTAGAGCCCAGACAGGGGCATAAAGGCATCCAGAATAGGGAAGAGACCTGAAAACCTAGGACACGGCCCCACGTGCTAAGGGTAGGTGCAAGCACTTCAGCAGAGAATTCAGGGCCCCTCTGTGAGAAGGGAGCAGCACAAGCTGGAAGAGGAGGGCGTCCACACAAAGCCGTGGCCTGGTGCAGGCTGCCTGAGCCCATGCAAAACGTGCAGAGCACCAAGGGGAGGGCAGAGAGACGGGGCAGCCAGGGTGCAGAGCCAGGGCGCAGAGCCAGGGCGCTGCGGGTGAGGGGGGGCTTCCTTATTGCGGTGGCCATGCTCAGAATGTCAGCGATGGACACCACACAGGAAGGTGATCCCGAAGAGCAGTAGCAGGAGGGACCAGAGGCTGGCAGTGAGGATGGCAGCCTGGGCACAAACCCAGGGAGGATGAGGAAGGAACCGGGGGGAAGGACATGGCAGCAGAATCGATTACTTATCCGTAGGAGGGCTCATTAAATCTGTCGATGTATTAAAAAGTAGAGTAGTCAGCTTTCTCACTGCAGGGAAGGAAGCCCGATACTCAGAGAGGGAGAAAACTAGAATCACTCTGTGGCCTTGGGTTGGAATGAGAGATTAGCTTCAATTCATAGTTTCCAGGATAGAAACAGATAGATATAAAATATGGTTGTGGGGGGCAGCAGGTGGCATGGTGGTTAAGGCACTGGACTCTCACATGGTCGACCACAGTTCAAGTCCCAGATGTAGTGACTTGCTTTCTCACATTCCCTTTCTCTCTCTCTCTTTCTCTGCCTCTCTCTGGTGAGCACAAGTGCCCTGTAGCAAGTTTAAAAATAATAATAATGATAAATAAAATTAAACAAATACTTCTTTTTTTTTCTTTTAAAGAACAGACCCAGGGTCTGGGTGTGTTTTTTTTATATTTTATTTTATTCCATTTGTTGTTGTTATTATTTTTATTTTGACTACAGAGAGGCAGAAACTGAGAGAAAGGGAAAACAAGAAAAGCAAGCTGTGAGGTCCAGGACTAGAACCACAGTCAGCCATGTGGAAACCCAGCACCTTTATCTGTCATGCCACCTGCTGGCCCAAACAAATAGTTCCTTAAAAAAATCCAATTGTAAATAATCCCTAGCATGGGAATCATGACACCCCAGTGGCAATGAGCATCACTTGGGGCCTGAGGTTGGTTTCTAAATTGCTCCTCAGTAAACATAAGCAGGGCTTCTCAACAAAAGGGCTCACTCCAGAACTGGGCAGGCAAAGAACAAGACGAACCTGGAATTATCTTGTTGTTCCTGAAAGTTGGGAGGTGGTCAAAAAATGTAAGAAATACATATTAAATGATTCCAGGATGATGACACCTCAAA